ATAGTCGCAAACTTTCCACCGACTACGGCACCTGTATCGCCCTGAAACAGACATACTGGTTTGGAATTATACATCGTTGGTATATGGTTGCCTTTCGGTGCCCATGTGCTTGATCTTCGATGGTGCGGTTCTTCTCGTGTTCCAATCTGTGGTTACATGGCACGGTACCTTAGGCCTTACCCCTCGAGAACCACCGCCGATACGCATATCTCTTGTCTCGAGTGCACGATCGACGATCCGTGAAGACCCCTCAATTCCCTCGCATCCTTATAGCCCGCTCGCCGGTTCGATCGTCAGATTGCTGATGTGACGGGTCACTTTTGTGTTACGGTAATATAGGTACATCAGAATTGTGATACAAGGCACTACTTGCCATCTTCTACTTCTACAACGCCATGGGCTTCATTTCTGACAACTTGCGACACCAAATCAGCCCAGAGATCGACAAAGGAGTCTTCAAGCTGGCGACAATCCTCGAGCTGCAGGGTCTGCAGCCCGTGCCCAGTCTGTCGACGCTGGGTAAGGCCCAGCGTCATAGCGTCACTGAGTGACATCTCCTTCCCGTCGCATTGTACTGGAAGAGAGGGTCACGCCCACGATTCGCAGAGTCCGAATCGCGGGGAAGAGACTCGGCTCGCTGGCGGCGAATGTCGAGGCGCACACCGGATCTGCGACAAGGGTGGCGGCTTCACGTTCGAATACGTCTGAGACGGTGTATATCGTCAACGACTCGACCAGATAGGCATCCTGGAAGAAGGACTCTACGTCCTGTGTGGTCCAGCACAGGGCAGAGAGTACGAGCTGTCGAACACATTGGAGCTGTTTGACTGCGATGCTGCGCGCAAGCTTGAGCGTTTTGGCCCGTATTGACACCTTGTCGCCATGATGTGCCACCTGGAGCTTCAATCGGAAGTTCAGGTAAGGAACGTGCGACTCGTCCTTATCTATGTCCATGTCTTTGACCAAGAGTGAAGACAGGGGTGATTGTTCAAAGCCAAGTCTAAACACAACGAGGTCTCTATCCGTTATCATGTGGAAGGCAGTGAACTCGGGCGGACCCTGCTCGCCTCGACTGAGTAAATGATTTCGCAGTACATCCGAGGCGCAAGCAGAAACTGTAGTCATATCATCCACCATTTCAGGCCCATGGCTTGTCTGTTGCCAATGATTTCCATACTCTTCGGTATTGATCCACGCCTGCAATGTGTTGCTGGCTTGTAGCGCCGCCAGCATCGGACCAACGCGAGACACTGGACCTTCGAGAAATAGCATGCGAACGGGGGAAGTTACAGTCGGAATAGGGAGCTCAGAAGGAGGGGTGAACACGCAATCGCCCCAAATTGTAAGTTTTTCGAGGCTATGTGCAGCATGCAAGGTGCGCAAGACGTCCTGGAAATTGTGACCGAGCCAAGGCCCGTCGTCACCTTCATGTGCATAGTTGTAGGTAGAAAGTCGGAGCACTCTTATATCGGCGAGACTGAAGCCCCATGGAAAGACAACTTGGTGCAGGGCTAGTTCGCGTAGGGCAGGAGTGCGGTGCGCGAGGTATTCATTGAATGTGGGATCCCAGGACTCGGATGGCCCACCAATTTCCAGCGTGTGTAAAGCGGGGGAATCGGACAGAAACGCAGCATGCAGATCGGTGAAAGGATCATCCGAAGAATCAGTGTCGATAATGAGTGATTGAATGTGGGGGAAGATGGCTATGATATCCGCGATGCGTTTTGCATCAACGTACTCCCAGATGCTTCTAACATTGAGAGAGCAGAAGTGGGACCGAGCCAAGTGAGTGGTCCAAGCCTCGGTAGGCATGCGTGTATCGAGTGCATTCCATAGTGCTTTTGAGCTGAGAGCGATGGCACGCCAACGGCGGCAGACATGCGATATCTGCACAGCAGCGGGAGGGCTCCAGCTCGAGTGGTACGCTTGAGGTGGGTTATCAACAAGTTGGAAGATGATCTCGAGTATCTCCGGAGGGACGGTAGTCGTCATAGAGAACAGGGCATCCCGACGTTCGTTGAGGTCAGCCCTGGAGAGTCATGAGCACCTGTCAGACAGCTGAAGCGTTTGAAACGTGGCGACTGCACACACCTCATTGCTGCCATGCCGTCCTCAGCGCCTGGCATCCCAATCAGTGACCCTCAGGTTCTGCCAATTAACAACAGGACGCGGCAACCGACGCGGAGTTCCCAGAGATACGTTAATATTCGTAGTCCAGTACGATTACCGCCGATACAGACGATGATCGAGGACCGTGTGTGATGCTGCAATCGGTCGCGCAGATGGTGGCTCCAGACTAAGAGTTCCAGCCTCAACTTCAAGGCTATCTGTTGACGCCGCCGCGCATGAGTTACGCCGCAGTTAAACCGGGCCCGGCCAACGCCGGGCATTGTGTAACATGCCGCACGCGGCGCGTTAGTTCAACCGTAGTTGACTTCAACCACCAGGCAGCTATACCGTCCCACATCTGAATCAATGGCCGACATGTCTGCTCTCGTCTCAAACGCACTAGGGTACGTACCTTCCGGTTCTTTCTATCCGTATCGATGCTCAATAATCCAAGTGCTGGCGTAGCTTATTGGAGGGAAGCCATGGACGCTCGCCTTTCCTTACTACCTCGAGCGAACGCGCTCATGACTGAGAGTGCCTTCGAATCAGCATACGATGCGGAGGTCGCGGCAGTGCACGCTGCATTGAATTCACTCCAAGCTCAACGCGACGTTCAACGGGCCGGTTTGCGAGAACTTCTCAATGCACGGTTGGACGTTACATCGTCCTTTCCTCCCGAAATACTCAGCCACGTTCTATTTTACCTGTCTCAATCTTTCACACACTCGTCAGTATTCGAGCGTCGAAAACATCTATCATGGATCTCGGCCGCCAATATATGTCGTCGCTGGCGAGCCGTTGCCTTCGGTACTGGCGCACTATGGAGCAAACTTCACCTGGAGATGCCGACTGAGATCTGGTCTACATTCTTAGATCGCGCACGCAGCTCTTTGCTCACGATCCAAGGGAACTTGGATCATACGACTTCTCTACAGCGTCAGGATGTACTCCTTCGCGTGCATCGCATTGAAGAATTGGACATACGGGTGTCCGAGATGAATCACTTGGACGCACTTATGGTGGATTTGGATTTAGCTGACACTGCCACCCATCTTCGTACTATCAAAGTTCATACGAACCACGGGCCAATGCGAAGCCCTGCCCTCGAAACCTTCTTAGCGCGTGATGCTTCTTCTCCGCGACATCTTACTCTTCACGGCGTCCACTTTCCTTGGGGATGCAGCATAGCAAGCGTTGAAACTCTTCGTTTATCCGATACCGCCCTTTCTCATATACCGTCGCGACACACACCGCATCTTGAAAAAGTTGTGCACACGTTATCCTCTGCCATAAACTTGAACGCGCTTGTACTTTCGGGCGATTCTATCTTCACACTGCCATCGTCACTGCAACCCATCGTTCTAGCTTCAACGATGATGCGGAAGCTCGAAAATATCGTCCTGAAGTGCTCTCCTCGACACGCTAGTTTGCTTCTTCAGACACTGCTTCTACCACCCACGTCCTCGATACACTTACGCTTGCGCATAACTGACAGGATAATGAATCTGGAAGAGCTCGATCGCGATCTCTCCATCGATACGGGGCGCATTGCATCCGCCCTCGGTACTCTTCTTTCGATCCCGGGCGCTCCGCATTACTCTACGATGCGAATACAGCCGAAGTCTCCCTACATTCATCTGAAACTAGATCATAGCATCTTGCCCGCTGCCACTTTATCAACAATTGACGCAGTCAATGTGCAGAAGTCCGTAGACATCCGACTTCCAGTTGCTGCGCCCGGCCGCGACACTCGAGACACGATGCGCGCAAGGACATTTGACTTCGCGCGGGCCTTTCCGATAGACCGCGTCAAGCATCTGGTACTCTTCTCTGGCCTCTTTTGGTCCCGCAGTGATGTTGTACGGCTCCTCAAGCAAGCCTCCCTCATTGAGACTTTGACAATACAGTCGGACACGCATGGCGAAGACGCATCCGCTCTCCTTCATAACATAATCTCGCCATCATCGTGTTTCTCGCCCGTAGAACCGACAGACGACGTAGCCCCCGGCATTCTTCTTCCAGCCCTCAAACACCTATCGCTCGGGGGTGTGAAGTTCAAAACCAACATTCGATGCAACAACAAGGACATGCCACTCTCCAAGATCTTGCTGGAGGCGCTTGCGAGCCGACATCAGCTCGGATACGAGCTGCAAGGCTTGCACCTTGTGAGATGTCGCCATGCCGAAGACTACGATCTGCACCAATGGAGTCAGTATGTGACCGATACTGTCAGCGTGGACTGAGCGTAGCCTGGCAGTACTGCATATACTCTTGACGCATTATAGGCGGGCAAGCAGTAGCATATGTACTTATCTCACTATCATTGCTTAAACTACATACTGTGTGTTGACGCTCTTCGCTCGAGCTTGATGCAAAGATGTAATGCACCTCAATATGAGGAAGGCAGAAAAAGTGTAGGGGTTCTGTGAGAGATGTTAGTAGCCCCGGATCTGGATGAGAAGAAGAGTAGTAGTAGCTTATCGAAGAGGGTAGAAGGTGCACAACGATGCACGAACGCGCCGCGCCGCCGTGCCACTCGCCACCTCGGGCTGGCCTCGGGGATCACTTCCGAGCCCGAGCCGCGCCTAGCGCGCGGCGTTGAGCTTCCCTATCGCGAACATTCTGTTCGCACATCTTGATGCTGAGTTACTGCGCATGTAAGAAGGCTATGATTAGCATAGAATGAGCTAGAATACAGTAGAATACATGGCTGGGACTATATAAGGACTGAGCTCGAAGGACTCGTTTCGGAGATCATGTAACAAGGCAAACCTGTAACAGAGCGTAACATTGTAGCCTAAAGTAGGTAGTACAATACACGCCCTAGATAGGCACTTGAGTCGAGCTGAACTGTCGGAAACCTAACAAAAAGCGGCCCAAATCTACATCTAAGGTCCTGCCAGGACTCGAACCTGGGTTAGCGGAAGACTCCGAGTGATCAGAATCCGCTGTGATAACCACTACACTACAGGACCGTTGTTTTTTTGATCTTCTTGTACATCATAAGTAGTGAACGGTAATTAGGGGCATCCACACCCCAACCAAAGTTCGCTAGGTTCAGTGGGGTCGGAGAGCAGACAGCGAGCGGTACTCTATCCATCACACCGACCATGCAGGCACCCGGTTAGCATGATAGATTTGCTTTGTGTACCGAGATAAGTACTGATGTAATCTATAAACATAGAACCTCGGACGACTACTGCGCTGCTCTCGCGTGCACTTCACCGCCTGCGCACGACTGCTCCTCGCATCATCGCATCGCCGCCTACACGTACGCCAACTTTAGTACTGCTTCATACCTTCCAGATATTGACTTGGGAAATACTACAGAACCCCGGCGCGCAGCTGTTGCGCTTATTCTTCGTATCGTGCCGCCTCCGAATTTTCCACTCCCGCCCGCACCATCTGGTGACAGCAAACTATCGCTCCCCGAGTTCTTTGCACAAGACTGGGTATCACATCCCAACGCACAGCCCGAGATCCTCTTTTTGCATCGTGAAAATGTTGCAAGTGCACCTGCTGCCGATCCCAATGCTACGAGTGACGCAGCGGTCGCGTTTCCCGGTGGACGCATGGAGGCGGACGACGAGGATGGGCTGTTTACTGCGATGAGGCATACATGGGAGGAAATTGGGATTGATCTTGCGGAGAACGACTATATGTCGATTGGACAGCTCGACGACCGAGAAATCACGACTTCGCTCGGCAAACGTATGTATATTCTAGTTGATTCTGTTTTCAGAGAGCTCATTCTTTCGCAGGTCTTCTTATGATTCTCTCACCATTTGTCTTCTTGCAACTCTCGCCATACACACGACCCGTGGACCCAGTGCCAGAAACAACACTGCACTGGGTTCCGCTCACCGCCCTGTTTCCTGCACCTGCACTTGTGATTGCGCAACCCACACCGGCACCACGCTGGAGTTCCGTGAGCATTGATGCCGCATCGCGCCTTGCACCGCGTCACTCGACGGCTTTGCGCCTTCTCATGCGGGTGCTTGTGGGAAACATGCAGTTCCCAGCACTCGTACTCCCCCCTCCGCCTCCATTCTTGACGTTGGATGAGAAGCATGCGGGCGGTGGCGCGTTGGAAGCTGGTGCAGGTCGACGACAGCGTCCGCGAAAGCTCTGGGGGTTGACGCTTGGAATGACCTTGGACTTGTTATCTTACACGGCGCCTACGCCGCTCACACCGTGGGATGCTGATGCGCTTATGGGCGTCACGGGCATCGAACCTCTCGACGGTCGCGGGCGTCGCGGTCGTGTCGATGCACCGCCCAGCTTGACGAGCGTCTTCCCGCGCTTCTCTTACCCGGACGTGAACTTCTGGATCTGGTATGTCGTCAAAGTCATCTGACCGCGTAGTATGCAAGACTGACAGCTGCCTTCTCGCAGGGTTTTCGGCAAAAGATACCGCGAGGTTATCCGTGGATGGGAGACCTCAATGCGTAACGGTGGTGTCAACGATCGTAGGATTAACTGGACCGGCGCAGCGTTGACTACGTTCTACGCGGCCGTACGCAAAGCGCTTATCGTTGTGCTCATCCTGCGGGCGCTTGGACTGCTCGTTGGCGTCGCGCTTGGCGTTTGGTGGGTCCTTCGCTGAAGGATTGGACAGTTCATCATCTACATACCCTTCTCTCTTCACCCTCTCTCCTCTCTCTCTGTTTTATACCTTTACGATAGCTCGGTTGTTGTACGACAAGGTGGACTCGGACAAGATACGTGTTCGGAATGGACGCCACACTCTAGACCTGGATTTGAGCTTCTTCTTGCACTGAACTCGCATGATACCGGGCCCTTTGTGTATTTGTAGCGGATAGTTTTGCCATACGGAATTCACTCTTTCTTGTGCATCAGGCGCTGGGGTATCACAGGGTATATACAAGTTCGAAAATTCGTGAGTTCATGTGACCGCGTCGAGCAATAACGGCATACATCGTGCCGCTGGGTCTGCTCTTGACGCTCGTCCCGAACGCTCATGAGCTTGATGCTATAATCAGATTATAAGTATGCAAGCCGAAGGAATACAGTCGCTTTGCGCACCAAGGTCGTGCAGGTCCTCCTCCTGCATCAAGTAGTCCTCTACATCGCGCTCCTCGTCGCTCAGACCCTCAGCTACGGTGCCTAGACGGCTACGAACGCTCGATGCATCTGAGCCATCGTCGTCCCCCATGGCTGACCCTCTAGCCATATCTCCCGGGGCTTGCGATTGACCTCTCTGTAATGTGGGATGGTTTGCTTGCGGGCTGACTGCTGGAGCCGCGACGTCAACTCCTAGTCGCATCTCCTCATCCTCGCGATCACTGAGTCCTTCTGCAATCGTGCCCAAGCGACCTGATGCTACGCTCTCGTTATCGCTGACCTCCCCAATCATCTCCTCGGTGTCTATATCAGCGCCTCCGAAGACTTCCTGCGTATCCGAACCACCGTGAAGTTCTCCTGTTGCCCGGCCTTCGCGCTCTCCCTCTTCACTCCCTCCTCTTTGATTGCCTTCGTATCGCGCAGGGGTAAAGACCCCCAGCCTACGAGCAGGTGATGGCGTTGACAGGAACGCTACTAGAGCACTCGGCGGAGTGAGGCTCTGCAGTCGCATCGTCGGCATCTGCGGCGCATCTGGCGTATACAAAGCCGCTCGCGGGGTGTATGCGCGGAGCTCTGATGATGGAGTCTGCGTGTGCGCATCAGAAGCATCCCTCGGTGACGGTCGCGGAGAAGATGAGGGCTCGGATGAGGACTCGAATGTTGCTGGGACCGGGATGCGCGCGGGCGGGAGCGTGTAGATCGGTGACGAGGTTGACATAGTATGCGTTTGTTGTAGGTGGCACGATACGATTTGCAGAGGGCGAGCCTTTTCAACAGACATAGACAACAAGGTTTCCCGATCGGGAGGTAAGATGATGGGTGGTTCGTTTTCCTCGAGGGTCCTTGTTCTTTGAGCGCCTGTGCCCTTGTTCGTTTTGGACGCTGGGAATGTTTGATTTGACCTTGTGATGTATCTGCTTGCTCGTACGATATGGAGAGTAGCGTTTCAGCTGACCATGTGGGCGCTTTGGTGTATATGGGTTTCTTGTTTGTCGCTGCAGGGTCGGCGGGTGCGGTCAACGACAAGCGTGATACCCTGTGCTTACTCCAAGCCTTCAAGCAGTTGTTTATCCAATAAGGAGCATATTATCGTTATACTGCAGTTAGGCTAGATGATTAGACGAAATGTAGACGTCCGATTGGTATCAGTGGGAAGAATGGTTGGGTGCGAGGGCATGTCGGGTATCTGTAGCATGTAACATGGCGTGGAAGAAATGAAGCAATGAGAAATGACCAATGAGTAGGAGCGTGATTAGTCCTGTGAGGTAGTAGTATTTGTCGGTTCCGTCAAGTACCACTTCGACCTTACCAAAGCGGCGCTGTACTGCCAGGTCGTACTCGAGCTCGCTTCGGCGTCATTCGGGCTCGCAGGCGCTTCTGCATGATCATTGAATAGGGCCTGCACGCCACCCTCCGAATCCAAGGCGCGAAGGTCCTTGGCAGACAGGCAAGCGGATCTGCAGAAATGCTACAGAAGCTCAGATCGTCAGCTCGGGCTGACGCTGTACCGCTCATGTTGAACTCACGTTTAGAGTGCGCGCGTGCTCGAGGTTCGTTCCTTGCTTGATGCACGTATAGCCCAACCTGTCGGCGAGTGAGCGAGGTGGCAATCGTTACTGGGGTATCGTACGCACGGGCAGTCCTGTAGCTTGCCTCTGCAAGCTTCGCAGAAGCATATGCCGCCAGATGCGCCGGCTTGAGCGTGCATGCGCTCGAGCCACCAAGCTTCTTTGTGCTCACTGACGATCTGAACGAGGCATTTGAGACAGTAGTACGCCTTCTCGTCGACGTGGTCTCCAGCTTTACGAGCGACGCCAAAGATTTCTCCGAGAAACGATGTCACGGAGAAGCTGGGAGAATCAAAGTAATCGTTCAGGCCGAGGGCTAGATTGCTCGCAAGACGACTTTTGAAACCGCAACCGGCCATATCATGTGGCGCCCATTTGCCGGACAATAGTTCTGCGTCTACGACACGCGGTGAGAAACGTGAATGGGAGATAGCGTTCATTGCATACGTACTACAAGGCAAGAACGCATCGACCCTGGAGACATGGAAACACTCGACGCCTGCGGTTTGTGCCAATGAGCAAAAGCTTTAACACATGTGACATACAGGAAGAGGCCGCTCACACTTGTAGGTGATGACTGGGCTTACAGGTAGTTGGTTCGCCGTACTGACTCGTTGTATATCCCGACCCAGAACTTGGATCTGACCGGATCTGATAGCTTCAGAAACATCTGAACCGTCCCGTCCAACGCAGAGTATCTCAGCAAGCTTTGCTCTCTCTTCGCGATGCGCAAGCGCTTTGCCTATATGTATGAAATCTACTCGAATATCTGTCAAAACTGCCCGAAAACATCAGTATGTGAGCGACTCGCTAACGTCTCGGATGTAGAAGACGTACTGTAAAGGTGTTCGGTCGTGCTTAACGAAGTGGCAACCCAAGGGAGGACCCGGCGAAATAGGAATGCATAGGCACTCCGAAACTCGGAGTTGAGATTGTCTGCAACGCCTGAGAGTTGGCGAAGGAAGTCGGCCTGTTCCTCGCGCAACCTTGCTTTATCTTCGTGCCATTCGTCGATGACATCCATGTCAACAGAGTCTCCGTCAGAGTCGTGACCGTCCGAGTCCCATTTGCAATCGTCAAAAAGGCCCTCCCAGCGCGTTATCCAGTATTCAAAGAAGATCCACACGCGGTACATAGCGAGCGTAAATTTCCTCGACTCGTCGGTCGTCAGTTTCGACGAGCGAGAAGAACGATCCTTGTAGCTGATGGGGCGTGATGAGTTTAGTTGCGTAGCATGACAAGAGGAGACGCACATCTGACTGAACAAATTCTCAAAATATGACATGGTGACTATATTCTTTGCGATCATCAATACGTATTCT